CGAGGATTCGCATAAATAAATGTCTAATAGTGCTTTAAACTGGGTTCTTGAAGGAGCGTGGACAACTGATGGAGAAAGGTTACTACACGCAACTACTACCCGAAATGAGAAAAAATTTTGCCTAATGGACGTGTGCGCTCTGGGTTTGAAAATCTCACATGTCCCTGCCCTGTGATTTTCTGGGCCAAAGTTGAAAAAACTGTGGGCCAAGCTTTGTTCAAACAGGGAATAAGTAAGAATTAGGTCCTCTCGGATGCGACGGCACTCCAGGGGAAAGAGATCAAGCATCGCGAGACGCGTTTCGTAGTCCACGGATTTGAGGCCGGTAACCATTCTCCTAGCGGATCGATGGACAGGCTCAATGAATGCGAAGTCTATCGTGCCTTCTGATTGGACAACTTGGTTGGTGTACTCCAGGAGCGGTCTGAAGTAGGTCCCATAGAGTATTTGGAAGTCCATGCGAGTAATAGGGGAGAGGGTGCGTCGGAGCATCCATAGAATGGCGAATGCATTTTCGTCTGATTTCTCATAGCGCAGTGAGAAGGACAAGTTTGAGGAAACCCAGATGGCCAAATCTTTTTCGGCATCTCTCCTCATGATGTTTTCTGGTCCCTTTTCACCATGCATAACAAGGACATTCTCTGAATCCCCTCCAAACGACACATGGACGCACTTTTCATCATTCAGAGGAATTTGCCAGTCCAACGACCACTGCTTGACAGCGTCTACATCCATTTGGAGGGCACTGGCATTGGAACTCCAGGATTTCAAGTCGTCCGCAAAAAGTAGACATGGACCCGCAAGACAGTCTGGGAGGTCGTTGACGTAGATCAGAAACAGGAGTGGTCCCAAGACGGAGCCTTGAGGAACTCCAATGGAGACCGGCGCTGGAGAGGAATAGGTCGATCCTATTCTCACTCGGAATGATCCATCTGATAGGAACGCCTTGATCCAGCGAAGGATTTTCCCTTGAATCGCGTAAGATTCGGTTTGTGGGGGCAGCGGAACGTGTGGGAACCTACCAAAAGCTTTTGAGAATTCAAAAAATATGGCATCCGATAGGAGTCCGTCGTCCTTGGCTTGGGTTAGGCTGTCCATAAAGACGAGCATGGTTGTAAC